TCAATAAAACCCTAAACCCTAGAATCTAAACCCTAGACCCTAGAATCTAAACCCTAAACCCTAGAATCTAAACCCTAAACCCTAGAATCTAAACCCTAAACCCTAGAATCTAAACCCTAAACCCTAGAATCTAAACCCTAAACCCTAGAATCTAAACCCTAAACCCTACACCCTAAACCCTAGAACCTAAACCCTACACCTTAATTACAGGGGAATACAGCAGGGATTTCTGCAGACGGTCAGCATTACAGGCCCGAGGCTGACCCTAAGCCGTAAACCCTAAACCCTAAACCCTAAACCCTAAAACCTAAACCCCAAACCCTCGACAAAACAATCCATTGAAAATTGTTTGAGTCTGCGGAATGAAATAAATGCGACGGAAAGAGGAGCAGACCACAAGTCTAATTAGGGTTTACAACTTTTTTAATTTTTTGTTTTTTATTTTTTTTAAAACCCCGGACTCTGTCTATACACTGCATCCCATCAACATGAAAGTGCATCTTCACGCCCCACAGCAGCAACTGCTGCTGCAGCATTATTGGCAGCAGCGGCAGCAGCTGCTGCAGCATTAGTGGCAGCAGCAACAGCTGCTTGCAGCATTTTTAGCAGCAGCAGCAGTTGCTGGCGCATTCGTAGCAGCAGCGGTAGTTGCTGCAGCACTAATAGCAGCAACATGGGCTGCTGCTGCATACAGCAGCAGCAGCATTACCGTGGCTGGCCGTGTCTCGCACGCGCTGCGTCTCAGCCGCTGCAGCAGCAGCAGCTGCTGCTGCCACAGAAAGTGCAGCAGCAGCAGCAGCAGCTGGCGCCGCAGCAGCCGCCTTCGCTGCTGCTGCAGCAGCAGCAGCAGCAGCAGGAACTAGGCCTTGAGGTAGAAGTTGGCGTCGGTTTCGTTTCCAAAACACCAAAACATGTTCAAGTTCCAAGTTGTTTGTCTTGCAACATATTTTATATATCCACATTTGCAATAAAGCCAGCCTTCAAACTTCAGCTGCCCCGGAGGCTCGTAGTTCCTGTAGCTGTTTTCCTCCAGCAGCACAACAAAAAGAGAAACCCAATAAGCCGTCTGCAGCAAAAACAGCAAAAAAACAAAGCAGAACCTGCTGCTGCTGCTGCTGCTGCGAGGCTGCTGCTGCTGCCAATGAGTGCTCTCACTGCCCAGAAAACGAAGGCAAATAAACAAAATGAATAATAAAGCAAATAAAAGGCAAAAAGACAGGAAATGAGCCACGCAAATGGGGCAAACAAAGGGGTCCGCGGACACCGAAACCCTTTGCAAAAAGAGCCACTTCAGCCCGAAACACGTCGGGAAAAAACGGAAAAAAGCGGAACTACCACCAAATAAACGCAAAAGAAAGCATTTAGGAGTCTTTTAGTCGAAGATTCCCGCGAAAGGAGCAGCGGAAAGGGCGGAAAGGAAAAAGTTGAACTGACCAGCGCGGCGAAACAGGAAATGCGGACGATCCACTCTCTCGCGGCCATTTTGCAGGGAGGCCTGCCTTCCTCCTCCACGCGAAGCTTCACAGCTCTAATTGCTTTCCCTCGAGCGCCCGAGGCTTTTTTCTTGGAGGCGATTTCCATCTTTCGCCGCTTCACCGCCTCCGCCTCTGCACGCCGCCAGACACGCACGGAAGCAAGCTTTTCGAAGGCAAATAAGGGCGTTTTAGAGATAATTTGCTGTTTTTAGGGGAAATAAAGGTATTTGCAAGATAATAAAGGGATTTAGAGAGGAAAATGAGGGTATTTCGGAAGAAATAAGGGGTGTTTGGGAGAAAGTTGAAGGTGTTTGCAAGAAAGTGATGGGCAGACTCAAGAATATAAAGATATTTGAAATAAAATCAAAAGCTGTTTCAAGATAGTTAAAGATACTTGCAAAACAATTAAATATCTTTTGAGACAATAAACATATTTGCAAGAAAATAAAGACATTTGCAAGAATATGAAAGACATTTTCAAGAACGTAGGGACATTTCCAACACAATAAAACCATTTTCAATACAATAAAAGATATTTGAAAGGCAAAAAAGAATATTTGCAAAACAAAAAGAATATTTGAAACACTAAAAGAGAGTTTCAACACAAACACTGGTTCCTAACCCGCCAAACCAGCAAAATAATTCGCACAAAACCAATAAAAGCAACAACAAAAACAACGAAAAAGCAACAAAATCAGAAAATAGAGCGATAAAAACAAAAATAAAAGCAATAAAAACGAAAATAAAAGCAATAAAAGCAATAAAAGAAACAACAAAGCAACAAAACACCACAAACTGCAACAAAAAGATCAGAGAGGCGACGAACTGCCGGCTTGTGTGTGCCCTCTGCAGCAGCTGTTCCCCCCCCAGCCACCCGAAAACCAGCAAAGTAACCGGCAAAAAGCACCAAAATAGCAATAAAATAACAA